ATTGCCAAATTTGTTCTTATTAATTTGGTACAAAATTTATCTTGTATAAAAGATTTGTAATTTGATTACAAATCTTGATAACTAATTTTAGTTTCAAAAAATATATATTTCTATTTTTATTTTAATTCTAATTATAATCCTAACTATTTTAAACTTTACTATTTATAGTAAGTTACATATATCATATTATGTACTATATTAATTATATCAGCTAAACTTGTTATACAAATCACAAGTGTAATATTACTTGAATAATATTATATAAAACAAATTTTAGCATTTCTCAAAACTTACTTTAATCTCTTTAATTTTAAAATACTTTAATAATACTATCTCTTATTACTAAAGAACCAAACTCTTATAATATTGATTACTACTATAGCAAATATAAAGATCACTATAGTATTAGTATGTCTGAAGCCAAACCAGAAACCTTATGAGTTTTACCTGCAAATATTAATTCTGTAGCATATGATACTAGTTCAATTAAAAAGCATCACTACTTCAAGATTCCTATTCAATGACAACTAGCTACTTATCTATATAGTTAATACCATACTAATTTTACCTTCTAATACTATAAAATCTCTTCTCAAACTGTTCTCAGAACTGCTCCTATAGAAACATTACCAATTATCTCTACTAAAAGTTTTAACAGAATTACTGATGAATTACAAACCTCTCCTCTTATAAAACAACAGTAACAACAATTTACAGCTACTACTACTCGAGAAAACAATTGGGATATAATTTCTATTATTAATCAAATTATAACCAAAAAATACCTCCAATGGCGTGCACCAGCGATTTTTACCTAGACCGATACTTAGGGTTGTGTTACGAAAATTACATTCTTACATTTCACGAAAGTTTTAGTAAATTGGATTTCATGTAATTTTCCTCGTGTGTGCCAGCATTATAGAAGTTTGGCCTGTATTATTGCATCCAATACATGATTCGCATTGTAGCTTAATTATTACGACATTTAAATGATGAAAATTATGATAATTATAATACGTGAGTTCATCTTGTGTTCGAAGTTACAATTACATGAAATATTGATTTACCAAACTTACGTAAAAAATTACGTAAAATACGTAAAATTACGGTAATTTCACGACCCTACCGATACTAAGCGGCTGATTAATGGCTTATATTAGATTTTTCCATATGTTGGCGATACTGATTCTTAATGCCGACCACTAATTCTTAAATTGCCTAACTAATTCTTAATGCCGGCTTAAAACACTATATTATGTCTAATCTTTATTGTGATTGGCTCGCCATCTTTGCGCCACACCTAAATTGGCATGCCATGGCGCGCCAGATTTTGAAAGACTATTGGCGACGCCATCTGCCTTGCGCCAACAACCCTACTCAAGATACAGAGAAAAATTAATATATGATGGCATTTAATATGCCAATAGAGGAAATCTTTAAGATTTTTTAAACAAATATTTTAGAGAACTTATGTCGCAAAAAAAATTAAAGCAACTTTCCGATATACCTTATTATTTGTCTCAAATGCATGGAATTGGATTTATTCATAATGACTTTCACAGTGGTAATATTTTACTAAATCAAAATATCGATGGAAATATTAAATTATATATTACTGATTTAAGATTATCTAGAAAAGGACGTGTTTAATGGGCGTGATTTCGACAATGATCTTGCATTAAAAATTTGCAATGGATTACGTCCAAAATTTGTAAAGAGGTTAAAAAGTCCGTCCGGTACAGTCCGGGTTCGTCCCTAAAAAATCTAGTTCACAGCTCCTGTCTTAAACCGGTCCAACTCTAGCGGTTTAATATACAATACGGAACAATACTGAAATACTTTTTACGAAATTACAGATTATTGATAAGATTTATAGAGCTAGTTCTCCAAGACCCAGTATTTTTCTTGATTCAAATATAGTTAAATTTTATTTTATGCGTCAAAACGACACTCATTTATATCATGTGTTATTTCAACTAGTTTTGGAACGGTTCTGAACTGTCCTAAGAAGTCTGGTCCAGGACCCGGTACGATAGTTCCCCGTGGACTGCTTAACATCCCTAAACATTTGCTAACGGAACTCCTGATTATTACAGTAAATTAACAAATCAATGTATTGACTCAGATCCACGAAAATGGCCTAGCCAAAGAAGTTTATTCAAAAATTATTAGATGGAAAACAATTATATAATTAGAAAATTTAACAGATAATGAAGAACTTTATATAAAAATGAATTTCAATAATGCCGATAGCATAATCAAGAAAACGTATCTAAAATCTTTATCAAAGCTTCAAACCAAGTATTATGACAAACTAATCGATGTACAAGAAAGCCTTAAAAGTAATTAATTATTTTATTTTATTAGTATCTATCCAGTATAAACTTCCATCTATTAGCGATTTATTAAGTTAGTATAATATAGTACACACTATTTTTATTATAATTGCATTTGAAAACCTTTTTTTTTTTTTACTAATACCGGTATTATTTAAGTTAAAGATGACATTTAATTTCAAAATGATTATATCCCTAAAAACAAAATATTAAATGTAAGTACCTTTAATTTTTTATATCAAAAAAAAAAAAAAAAAGTTATTATTATTTATTTATTTCGTAAAACACTTAATTCACAAAATGAAAAAAAAGATCGATTATTTTAGAGTTAGAAATCCCAATAAATTTTTTCAATCATCGGAACTTACAGTAAAATCACTCGAGGAAAAACTTTTATTAGAACACAAAAGGTGGTCACCTTTGAATTTTTTCAAATAAATGTTTGTTTTCTGATCGTGTTACGAGTGGTTAAAGGTAATTGCATAGTCATATATTTGGATTTATAGATAGGCAGTAGTCTCGTTTGTTTGTTTTTTATATTGTAATTTAAGATAAATTATTAATAATTCATCTACATAAATTATTATAAACGAACTTTGAAAATTATATAGATTATTTATTGTAAGTTGACTGTGTTTATACTGTATAATCAGAAAAACGATCGATGTTCACAACTGCTCTAGGATTTGGAAAAAAATATTAATTCTATATATAAATATTTTTAAACAGTTTTAACAGGTTTCAATCTTTAAAAAGATCAGTTTTAGAGATTAAACAGTATTTGGATTATCTTAATTAAATGTTGCGACTGAAGCTGGAAATGGATGATACTGGAAATTTTAAATATTTCAATATGAAATTTACAAAAATTTTTGGGGTGCATTTTCTACGATTTTTTTTATAGTTAGATTAGAATTTAGGGGTAGGTTTATAACAAAAGAGTATAGTTAGATTTTAACAGGGTTTATGGTTTTAAAATCGAGGCCCCTAATTTCCAGTATCAGCCATTTCCAGCTTCAGCCGCGACATTAAATATTAAATAGAAAGAGACATTTCATATGCTTTAAATTTATTTTTAAGTTTAATCGTCTTAAAACTTGAATTTGAAGGTTAAATTAATAAAGTGATTTGGTTGTTAGTTTAAATAGATGATCAATAAGAGTATGATAAAAAAATATAAGTCCGTTGCAATCCCCTTATTTCCAAAATTATTACTTTATGCAATTAATCTGGAAAAAATCTATCATGTTAAACCTTGCGATTTATGATTGTAATTACCCAGGCAAGATAAATTCCAATTAATAGGTTGAATCAGTGCTATATATCGTGTTAAGTGTATATAGTTATCCATTCGAATATTCTTTAAGTATAGGTCAAAATTATGTTTCAGGTCCTGATACGACACATCGCGAATTTTTTTTCAAGATTATTGTCGGTAAATCTATTGGATGCGCCGAACCTAATTCTGGCCCAGCAGGCTGTCACTTCATTTCCCTCAGCTCCAGCAAAAAAAGTTTTTTTATTATTTATAAATCAATAAAATATTTGTAATTATTTAACACCACTACTATAATATAAAATTCTCTTTTCTACGGTCCATTATTCTTTAACAAAAAAGTTTTCCTATCCTTAAAATATGGCTACGCAGGAACTACAATAACAGAAACTCATAACTATACTTTTTAAATAATTTGTTCACTCATTCATTTTTAGGTTTTGAAGAATCTTCTTGCGAATTCCTATTTCTAAGAGTCCATTTCTTAAAAGCGAACATAATAACCTTATAAAAACCATATACAAGACTAGTAATCGTTACTAGAACAATAATTATAGCGACACCAAAAACGTCTAAATAATTTCCTCTAATAAAACCCATTCTTGAATTAGGAGTGATCCAATGTCTCATCAAGACTTTATTGTCGACTTCAAGTTCACCATTCTCATTTCTAACACCTTCGAGCATTGCCAAATTCATTACTATCTCAATTAAATCAGCACCTCTATATTTTCTTTTACTATTAAATTTTGCCAACACTTGCATCCTCTCCGCATTTATTTTAAAACTTTTTTCGAACATTAATCTCTTAACTTTTGATACTATATCATCAACTCTTAAATCAAGTTTTGAAAGTAGTAAAGCCATACCTGTAAGCTCTAACTTTCCAGCATTTCCAGGTTGATCAAACCCTATTGGAAGTAATAACATTGGAGTAGCAGTATACATAGATTCATGACTACTACCTACGCCAGCATGACTTAAAAACACTTTAGTATTCTCATGAGAAAGTATTGCAAACTGAGGAGCATATTTTGTAATATAGATATGTGGGTATAAATTATTTGAAAGATTTGAAGTGGATATAATATCACCATTAGAAAGCGTAAATGTAGAAGGAAGATCCGATTCATTAAACCTTACGGTTGCCCAGATTACACCATCAAGAATATTACTATTAATTAATTCAAGAGCAGACTGTAAAACAATAACGAAATTTTTAGGAGTAGTGTATGCCGCAGTCCCTAGAGCAATATACATAGTTCTAGGATGAGCGGAAAGAAATAATTCGAGATCAGGAGATAGATCTGGATAAATATCAGGTAAAATAGGACCAATTTCTTGATGAAGTGGAAGCCAAGCGGATGAGACCTGAATGAAAAAAAAAATCAATGGAGTTTAATTATAGAGACTTTTAAAAAAGAAAATTAAAAAGTAAAATCACCTCAAATCCAAAGAAATTATCGACCAAAAATAAAGTATTGGCTATTGTTCCTCTAAAGTCACAATGTCCGCTAACACCGACTTCGGCTCTTTTAGCATTGAGGTAATTTAGATTTTTTCGAAAATGCCATCCAAGTCGTAATGGCTGTACTACAGCACATCTAAACCGATTATAGAATGATTCATTCTCCATGCTCACAGGACAACCAAGCATTGGATCTGATCTAAAAGAGAGGTGGTGCAGTGAAAACTAAAAAAAAGAATAGGAAAATAATAGAGAGGAGGATAATAAATAATCAATAAATCATAACTAACCCATAATAAAAAGTAAATATATATACACATAGTATGACTGACAAATCCAATAACAGGCTTTTTTAATTTCCATGCTAGATCAAAGCAAGCCTCATTTGACACATAGTCACAAAAAAATAAGTCAGCCTTGGTTTCTTTATAAGCTTGCAAATATTTATTAAAGTATTCTATATATTTTTTATTATGTACTGTTCTTCCATAGGCTAAGCTTTTATAAGTATATTCGTTCAAAAAGATTTCTCTAAACTCCGGAGACGCATAAGTGTTAATAGGCTCTGAAAGATTTATTTGTGGAATCGAATGATATAGAGTAGTCGTAGCCGTAAAATTCCCAGGAGCTACTATTGTTAACTTTTTTTTTTAAATAGATTAGATTAGAAAGAAGTAGAGATATAAAAAAGTTAATACGTAATAATGTTTCTTATTGATAGTTTACATTATATCCACGATCCACTAAAATCTTGCAAATTTCCAACATTG